ATGATACTTTTACCAATCTTATGAGTATTTCGTTGCCCATAAAGCCTTTGTGGTCTGGATTATAGATATATGCAGAGCTTCGCCTCCATGTTTCTATGGACATATTTGAACGCAATACGATGTGAGAATATTGCCTTAATTACATAGTTACTAGCCAACTTCGGTGCTTACCGTATAATGTAAGATTTCGTCTGTGAAATGTTGCAGTACTCTGGTAGCTTGAAAGATTGACTGAGGTCCAGCTTAGAAAATTATACTCCTGTACTTCCTCCTTCAGTAATTTTTGATTAATTTTTTCAAGTTTTGTGCGCTCAAATGGCGGCTCGCATGTTCCAGCACCAACAGCACTCTTAAGCTATAGCTTAAAACCGTCTTACGCAGATTAAGTGTTTAAAGGTTCTAGTAGAGAATTCTTCAAAGGATCTAAGTATTGTGGCGTATTACCCTGCAGTACTTCCCAAAGTTGGATTGGTTCTTAGCGCTCATGGTATTCAGAGGGCAGCGAAGGGCCGTAAACACTTTACAAAAGAGCACCGTACCATATCGGATTGACTCCCGCTGCGCAACCTCAGTGCAGGAGGCCAACAAGGTAAGTCTCACGTGGTAGTCAGCATCTTTTAACGTGCGTAAATGGCACAACAATTAACATGGTTAATTATTATTAATTATTTTCTCTATTATATTATTTATGCTTTAGAACCGCTAACGCGATTTTCGACCGAGATCCTCCTTCAATTTGTGGTTTTGATTCTTGATGTTTCTCCAACAAATGGAGTGACCTGGAGTTTATCCTAAGTCGCTTCCGAATCGATTTTTATGAGTAGTTTTTTATTTCAAGCCAGAAATACGCTCAGAGGGGTCGACATTCTCCGTCGAGGGCGATTTGAAAATTTAGTTTAACTTTGTTCTTGGATTTATTTTCTATAATTTTTGGATGTTGGTCGGACCGGGACTCAAGGCCTTGATTTCCGAATGGCTGCCTTTTTTTACTATGCAATATTACAACAAGCTCCATCATCATAAAGCTTTGAGTACTAAATTTCAGTTAAACTTAGGAGTTTTAATTAAAAAACGTTTCTCAGTCACATTGGCAGATCCCTTGTTGGCCAGCTGTTTTATCACCATTAACACATGTTTTTTGAATTTCAGTTAGTTAACAGCAACCATCGCTCACATATATAAAAAAAAATTATTAAAGTCTTTAAGAGGTTTTTTCCTTGAAAGCAAATTTCAATTATTTTTAATGCCCTCAGCTCGCTTTTAAACACTACCACCGAGCCACAAAGTCGCAAGTCTGTCAATTTGTCATTTCTAGCATTTCGTTTTATAAAATTCTTCCAATTTCTTTCCGACCCTCTGTCATGCATATGCAGCAAATTCAATTTCCCATCCATCCATGCTTTGCAAAAACTTTGAGACTTTTATTGGCAATGGAAATAGTTGCTAGAGCATGTTGTCGCAGCTGACACAATAACGGTCAGAGTGACATGAGAATCAAGTCAACATCTTAACGTTTCACCAGTCACCTCAAATAAACACAGACACACACACACACACACATTCATATAAATTCATACATACAAATAAATGAATATGTGAGGGTATGTGTGTTTCCGTTGTTGCTTTGCGTCTGAAAAACTTACGTATTTTCCTGAAAGCATTAACCTTCAAGGTAAGCAAATCAATATAGTTGGCGCCGCAGCGATACGTTTTTCAATCATTTTTATTACAAAACTTTCATTTTCATGCAGCTGTTGAAGAAACGAGAAAGAATTTCACTTTCAACTTTTGTGCGACATACGCACGCACACTCACACAACACACAACACACAAAGAACCACCAGTTTCCTTTACTAACTCTCGTCAGCTGTATATGTGTGTGTGGTTGAGTGTTTATGTGGCTATGAATTGCTCTAGGTCAGCTGGGGTTTTTTTTCGCAGTTTGGTTGGTATGTGTGCGCATTTGAAAAGTTTGTAAATATAATTTTATTAGGTCTCTACTTTTAATTACGTAAATTGCTTGGGTAAATACTTTTGCATGGGAAGATAAAACATTTGCGAAAAATTGTTAGATTAACTTTACTAATTTGAAATCGATCATCCGATTGCATACCGGACAGTCTTCACTGTTATGCATATGTGTATATGGGCTTTATTTTCACTCTTTTAGCACCATCAATCATAACTTGATCTAGCGGTAAATATCTTGCGACACTATTTATAGTAAGATTGTGGACATTTTTTGCAAATGCCAATACATTGACACCAGTGCAATCTAATATTTGTTCTTAAAAGTTGGATTTCAAATAAAAGCCATCTATCATTTTTTTTAAATATCACGCAAAACTTCTTGAATATAATTTTTTGTTAAGTTGGAAATAAAAAAAAAATTATATAAATTTTCTTTTTTCGTCTTTATAAATGACAGATCTCGGAAATGGTTTTTATATTAACTATTTTCAGTAACATTTTCTATCAAATCATATAAGTCAATTAAATGGTTGTCCATACGAAGGTTAAACCTTGCACAGAGAACAATTTTTCGGGACTGTACTGTCAGCATTTTTACTATCTGAACGAACCAATCGCCTAGAATCACACAGCATAGGTTAACGGGAGGAGAATTGTGCTTCACAAGGACAGCGCTAGACCACATACATCGGAACTGTCTCACCAGAAGCCCTGAGAGCTTGATTGGAAGTTTTTTAAGCCACCTTTTAGTCTGGACCTGACACCAAGTGGTTACTATTTGTTTCTGTCTACGACAAATGATATAGCTAATGAAAAATTGGCCTCAATTGAAGCCTGTGAAACCAAATTTTTTAAAGTTCATACTGGCATAACTTTTATGTGACAGAAAGCTATCTGGTGCTTTTCCAATAAATCAAACTATGGTAAATAAAATCTTCAGTTAAATGCAAGAATAATACGTTGATTTTTACTTGACTTTGTTTTTTAATTAATTCACCTCAAAAATTTTATTTTTTTGTTTATTTTTAATAAATTTCCTAACTTCACTTTCTAGTTTTCAACTTATTAATTTACAAAAAATGTCCACTCACGAGCTGCCGAGCTGCTTGTACCTGCAGGTTTTCCCTATTTACGAAAAACTAGCAAAATTAATAAATTGAAAAAGGAACTAGAACGAAAATTGGCGAGAATATAAATGAGGTGCGCAATGCCATTCATTGTCAAGTTTTCAAAGAGCATTGCAATTTTTTAACTTTTCAAAGATCTTAGATCAAATTGAAAAATATCAAAAAATCTCTGCTGGAAGCAAAATTTTCAATTTCATCAATAGTGCTTTGTGATTCTGCATTTTGTAGTTTCTGAATAACTGAATGAGAGCTGTAGATAAGGGTTTCGAACTGCTTAATATCTATATGTCATATATATGGATTTTTAATACATCAGAGCCAAGAAACTTATAGTCTGAGCCTTCTGAGAGTCTTTGAAGGAAGGGGCGAGTTTATTTCACCGCGCCATTTCTGTGCGATTCTGGCAAACTGAATCAACTTTAACTATTAACCCGCTGGACACCAAGACTTTATTTTACATATAAAACTAGTTATAATAATAGTAGACCATATAATAATTCTTAAGAACACTTACTGAAGTTTTGAAGAACGTAAAAAACAAGACTCTGACCGACTCTTAAATTAGATATTTTTTTTTACTCAACTGCTGAGCCTTTAAAGGTAATTATTTATTTTATTTTTAGTTATTATTATACAGTCTGTGAAAAATCTTAGTATTTTTTCCTTCCTGATTTTGGAATTTTTTTTTTTTTTTTTTTTTTTTTGATACTAACAAAAATTGCCGGAAGCACAGCTTTTTCTTTTCTTCCCTTTTAAACGAAATCCACAAGTATGAATACATTATTCCTCGAAGATATTTTCTCGAAGCCAAATACATTAACATATTTTTACCTTTTTTCAAATCGAATAGCTTACTGGAAAACAAGCTACAGAAAACTTTTATTTTCCACTCATCCTTCATATGTCAATGTCTCTGGAGGGAATTTTACAACTAATAGCTGTAGTTTTAATAATACTTTCACTTACTACAATAATAAACTTCCATTTTATAGCACCAGTCAGCACTAAAAATTGTGTGGTTTTTGTTTTAATACTAAAATTCTGATTCTGGATAAAGCCTATGAGAGCCCGTCGGCGTACTTACCACAGACAGCAGGGCGTATGAGTGTTTTTTTCGTATGAACGGATGTTTGAGGAAAATTAATGAAATTAACGAACCATAATAATATTTCAAAATATATTAGGTATTATAAATGAGCAAAATAAATATTTACTATTACTTTGATAGAATTAAAAACGTGTTATATTCTTGATTTCTGATGAGTAGAAACATTTTAGCCAGAAAAAAAGAAATAAAGTGATTAAAAAAATTATTCACAAACACAAACGCAAATAAAAGTTATGTTTATATTTTATAACTTAAAGATGCCAGAAATGTTTTTAAACTATTTTTTACATAACACTTTAAGTCAAACTATGTATGGTTGGTATTGTTATATGTAAAAGCATAAAAAATATTAAAAAAAACTCTAGATGAAACATCACACTTTTTTTTTTGTAAGTAATTGATTAATAACAACATTTTATATAAAATTAAATAAAAATACGTTTTAAGTGAGCCACAAAATCGTATAGGCTTAAATCATATAATTTAGTGACTATATTAAGTATTAATGTAAATATATGTATCAAATTTTTTTCAAAATCCTATATTGGACAACGCTGATATTATTTAATTTTTGTGTATAAAACTTCTAGTATTTTGAAATTTTTCTGCTGCGCTTTCAGAATTTTTATGAATTTCTTTTTTTTTTTGGAATTTAATATTTCAGTTATTTTTTACTCTGATTTAACGTTCTCCTTGATGCAAAATTTCAAGAACTATCAATGATAAGTATAAAAGGTGTATATAAATATATTTTCAAAATTAAACAAAAAGTATTTGTTTTCCAGGATACTTACCATTATTTAAATTTGCCAAGCCGAAGACGATCATCATGGTGATGCGCAGCAAATTGTTGCCACACCGATAGCACTGCAGCAGCATATTGAGTGTGTGCTCTGTTGTGTTTAATTATTATTTGAATGAAGTTAGCCCAAATTGGTGCTTGCCCAACGCCCACCACTTAGCCCTAGGCATTTGCGTTATATTTGAATTAATTTATTTTGTGGTGTTTATTATTTATACAGTTTTCAATTTGTTGAACTTGCACTTGGACTTTCACTTTCGGGCCACAGAAAAAATAAAAAACACAAAACGGGCTAAAATTTTTAGCGGTTTTTTCCCACTCAAAGTGCTTTTGACCTAACTTAATTTCAACTTTCACGGTTTACAATGCGAGTTTGTTGAGTTTTTGCTGAAGGTTTTTCTTTTGGTTTCTCTCTGTTTTTGTTTTTGGTGCACGTGGCTAGTTTAGCGGTCAGTCGTGATGCTCTTCAGAGCATTGCTTAGCAACGAGAATTTGTTTATTTTGCCTTCTTTTCAATATCCGCGACATTGACATAGTTTGCGGGTAAAATTCACTGCATATTAAACATATAAAATTTGTCTTTCACTTTTCCACAAGTAATGTCAATAATTTTACAAATTCTATTTTATGCGCATTTCGAATGTCATTTTACAACAACAACAACAACAACAACAGTGAGTCTCTTGCTGCAGACACACAAAAAGTTCATAAAATTTTCAATTGTCCACGTTGCTGCGCATAGCAGCTGCTACATTACAATTATTTGTTGCTACATTAGTGCTTCAACTAACACTTACACACATACATGCACACATATGTGAGTGGCAGGCATGCATAAAATACATTGCAAAAATATGCTGTTTTTTGTGTCATTGGTGCAGTGCTTTGACCGCCTTGTGAACGCTGGTTATGGGTATGTGTGTCAAATATATACACGCGCGCACTTGTACATGCATACATGAATAACAAATGTATGCAAATGAGTATTTTTTCGATTTTTTACTTTTTCAAACTTTTTTTTTTGGAATTTATCTACAATCCACGCTTAGAATTTGCTTGTTGTTGTTGTTGTCAGTGAAAAAATTCCAATAATTTCACAGACATTTTGCAAAGTTCACATTCAAATTTTGTTCGCACATATTTAGTTGGTTGTATGTTGGTATGTACACATGTATTTATGTATTTGCATTCAAATTTTCTGCATCCAAATTATGGAAAATATTTTATTTATACTAAATGCGCACTCGAGCTGTTGCTGCTGCTGATGCTGTCACCAGTGCATTGAAATTACGCACACACATATTCATATATATATATATGTATGTATGCAGTGCTGCAGTTTTAGTGCAGCCGAAAGTTTTTTCGTGACGACAAATGGCATGCATTTACTGCGGTGTTTATATTGCAGTGCCTTGTTGTCGTTGTTGTTTTTTTTTTTATTTACGTTTTTGATTGACATAGCGTTTTCACAAACTCACTGCAATAGGAAACTGAGTCTTTTAATTTTTTTTTCAGATTTTTTGCAAATATTTCAAACGCTTATTTTTTGAATTTAAAAACTTTTTGCTGTAAATACCTTGCACACGGCTTTTATATTTGATTTCTTTTTTCTATGTTCCGCTTATAATTTTGTGTTTACTTTAATTCTCAATACAACTTTAAATGTTTTCTGCCACTCATCACTTTTTTAAAATAAAAATCTTAAAATGTGCTATTTTTCCGCATCAGTTTTTGGTAACTCCATTTTTTTTTTAAACGCAAAACATTTCGCATATTTCCCCACTTTACTGCTAGTAAACATCAGATTTTTTTTTCGCGCGCGATTTCATTTATTTCTCTTTTGGGAATTGCCGTCAACTAGCTTAAATTCGCTCATATGCACACAAGCAAGTGAATAATTTATTTTCGTTTTTTGCATTTGTTGCATATTTTATGGCGCTATTGACACCGTTTCGCAAATTTCACATTTATTTAACCGATTTTTCAATATATTTCTATTTATTTGCATTTTTTTAGTATGTCACTTATTAACGGTGATACTTCTGGGAAATCCGCTCTTAACGTGTGGAATTTTTCAATTTTCTATTTTTTCCATTCAGCATTTTTCATTGCAGCATCTGTATTAGAAGAAAATTTAAAAAAAATGTATATTTAATGTTTTACAAAAAAAATTTTATTTTTTTCAATTTTTTTTTTGTTTTTCGCTAATTGTTTCTGGCTCGATAATGTCGTTCAGAATAGCTGTTGTTAACGAGGCTGATTAAAACTGTAAAAACAGGCCATTTCTAATTTTCACTGTTCTTTTTTAAAACAAAGTTTAAGTTTTTTTTAACTATTTGCCTTTCTTTATGCATGAAGAAAACTAATTGTAAACAAACTTTTTTTAGGCAAAAAAATAAACAATAAAGCACAGATAATTAAAAATAAAATTTCAAAAAATAAACAATTATTTTAACACATTGAGATTTTGAATTTTTTTCATAATTTTTTTAAACAATTTCAAATCGTTATAATCAAATTTTAAGCCTTAATGATTTCGCAAAATTTTTAAGAAACATTTTTTTTTTGAGTGGATCATTCAGTTTGTTTTGCTTAGATACATGTGAATCGAAAAACGATGCAATTTCCTTGATATATATATTTTTTAATAAAAAATCCTACGATATAAATACCAACAAAAATGAAAAAATCCTAAAATTTTCCAGTGTAAAGAACTTAAAAATGAAAAAATTGAAAAAAACCGATAATTTTAAATTGATATATATTTTCTTGAAATGTCTTAAGAAATCTTAATAATTTTTTATCGAATTTTAAAAAATATTTTGGCAAATTTAGTTTAGTATTTAAGAACAGATCACAAAATAATTTTTTTCAGAACTCTTCTGGCAAAAAATTCAAAGGGTAGAGAAGAGGTTTTCGAAAATAACCGAAAAAATAATATTTGGAAAAAGATTCAAAATGAAGTTTTGAGAAACTTAATTAAATATATGCAAATAATGGGAAAACTTAAGTATATATGTATTGAAGGGATCTACAATTTATACCAAGCCGCCTTCGAACAGCATATATTTTTTTGTGAGAAGCCTTTATTTCTTATCATAATTCGGAGGAGTTGACATTCCGATTCAAGGGCCGGCCGCAATTAGAAAATAGAGCCTAATATTTCTTTCATTTATTTGAATTAATCTCCTATAACTTTTGGTGTTGATCGCAGTAGAACTCGAATGCACGGCTTTTCAAATAGCAGCACCTAATGCCAACCAGACGCTGTCCCAGCAACCAAAGATAATTTTAGATTTAAAAAAAAAATATGAAAAGTGCGAAATTTGTCTTAATAAAATCTCTAAAAAAATATATATATTTAAAATATAAAATCAAAAAAAATTCCAAAAAATTCAAAAAATAAATGACCTAGAGATTTTAGAAAAAATTATTAAAAATCAAAAGTGATTATTTAAAAAAATATTTATTCTAAAAAAATGTTTACCCATAAGGAAATTCAGCGCTCCTCACCTATGTCATATGTCATACTTACCTACAAATAAAGAGCTTAACTTAGCCAATAAACAACCAAATTTAAGTATTAATTGGACTCATGTTACCCTTAGTTGCACTCCTCCAAATTTGTTTTTCTAAATCAAATTAGAATTATCAATCAAATGAAAGAAATGAAAGGTTTTCATAAGATAATTTCTCTAAAGATTTAAAAGAAAAAATTGATATATGCCAAGTCTAATTTATTGAAGGTGAAGTTGTCAGATCATATGATTGCTTGCTCTTCCTACCATTTCAACAAATTACACAAACAAAATACATGTGAATTATGTTTTTGTATTCTTGATACTACCGTGTGTGAATTTGCCATGATATACGAAAACCAATTTTTTCGAAAATCTCAATAAAAAATTCTAAAACTTTTTCGAAGCAAAATTTGCGAAGAATTTATTGTATATAAAGTTTAAAGTTTCTTGGGAACAACCAATATGCATGAAATCTGTTATATCCAAATCTACAAAAGGTCACACAGTTTCAAAATTTGACCGCCAGATATACTACATTAAAAATTCAAATTAAAAATAAAACAATTTATATTTCAGCAAATGGGAAAAACTAAATATAAAATATATTAAACTTTTCATAAAATTTCAGTTTTTTAAATTGCAAAAACAAAAACCATATTTTTTTGTCATTAGTGAACTTAATTTAATCTATTTCCATACGAAATATTTCGAAATATTGAAAACAGAATAAATCATTTTTGGACCAGAGGCAATTAAACTGCATAAATTTTACACTTAGCTCTCCCATTCCACTATTACAAGACGAACAATTTAACTTAATTTTAATTTTTTCTTCAGTTGTTCAATGAATCGATTTCAACAATTTCCTATTACGACTGAGTACTTTTTGTGCATAAATTCGTAAGCCATTGTGATTTGTAAGAGTTGTTTCCACATAATTCATAACGAATGAAACGCGGATGCACTACCACCGCACCGCCACAGAAAAACTTAAGCAAGATAAATACTTAGCATATCTGTGTGTATATATATATATACATATCTTCATATTATAAGCTGTTAATATTCAAATAACTTGGTCAACTGCCACGCAATGCCAGCTTACACGCTTCACTTTGGCAAGAATCCAATCTGCAAAGTACTTCATGTGGAAATAACAGTAATGAATTAAAAAAAAAACGAAAAGTAGAGGAGCAGAAAATATATTTTGCAAGTTTAAGATCAACGAGGGCAGCAAGAGTAAAAAAAAGAAAACCAAAAAGAACAAAAAACAAAAGGATAAAAAAAATAAAAAAATGTATGGTGGAATACATAGTTTGAGATAGTGACAGTAGCAGACGCATAAATTTACGCGTCGAGTTGTGGGCGAGTGAAAAATTGGTGGAAAATATTTGCAAAAATTTATAGTTTTTGGCTAGTACTCAGTAGAATTGTTCAAAGTGGCAGGCAGCGAGAAAAAGAAATTATATATGTGACAATCCAAAAAAAGGGTAATAATTTTCTAGAAGCAAAATTAAGTTGAAAAAGTTTTGAAATGGTTAAAAATTAGTATTGAAAATAATATTATTTGTCTCAATCTAGCATCGTCTTTTACTTATCTTGGCTGCTTCTTTTGCACGAACTACAAATTGTAATCAAAAAATAAAAATAAATTAAAAGCAGCTAAACACCTTATCAAACATATTAGCCTACACATTACGTATACGCCACGTACCACCACAAAGGTAATGAAAGAAAGTCTATGCAGCCACCAAAGTGTGCGTTCATGAAAACCTATCAAGTGACTTATAAACTTATTAACATTTCTCCGTTGTCGGCCCTTAAGTAAATAAGTAGACACTATGTCTCGCTTAATAATTGAAGCGAAAAGACAGCAAATAATCGCATGTACACTAAGATGTATATAGAGGGTGATTTTTTAACTATTATCTTTTTGGCAACACTGGTTTAAACGGCTGACGCATGCTTCGTGGTCTATAATTTAACAATGAATCGTTTTTCAAATAAACAACGCTTGCAAATGATTGAATTTTATTATCAAAATGCGTGCTAATATCATCCAGAAGCATAGCAAGAACTACCAAAGCATCCAGAAAAGTCACAGTTTGGTATGGTTTATGGGCTGGTGGCATAATCGGACAATACTTCTTCAAACGTGATGCGCATCGCAACGTAACTGTGAATGGTGAGTGCTACCATGAGATGATGTCAAACTATTTTTTGCCCAAAATGCAAGAGCTTGACTTGCATGACATGTAGTTTCAACAAGACGATGCTACATGCTACCCAACACGCATAGTAATGGACTTATTGAGAGGCGAGTTCGGTGAACATTTTATTTTACATTCGGGACCGGTCAATTCACCGCCTAGATCGTGCGGTTTAATGCCTTTAGACTATTTTTTGTGGGGCTTTGTTAAATCTTCTGCCTGTAAAGGCAAGCCCGCTTCAATTGACTCCTTGGAAGACAACAT